GACGGGGCGGCTGCGCTCCGCTCCGCTCCGCACGGCAGGCAGCTGCCGGCCGCAGTGAGCCGGGCGCGGCGAGCGCGCAACGCTCCCCCCACCGCCTCCCGGTCGCCGCCGCCTCCTCGTCCCCGCCCGCCCTCTCTTATCGCGGCGGCTGCGGGGAGGCGATTAATTATGGATGGAAGCCGCGGCGGGCGGGGGGACGGAGGGGGCGGCCCACCGGGCCGTCGCGGGTGGCGGGGGGAGAGTGCGACCCCCGGTGAGGCCGGGGGCGGCGGAGCTGCCCAGCCCGCCCTCCCACCCGCGTGGCGCGGGGGGGCCGCCCCTCGCCCTCCGGTCAGCCCCGCACCGCGGAGCGCGGCTCGGGACGCGCGGCTCGGGCAGGGGGTGGCGGGGGCTTGAACACCCCCGCGGGTTCCGTTGCCGAGGGCTGCTGCTTGTCTCCGTGTTCCTGACTTCTCTCCCTCTCTTAATTTTATTTATTTATTTCTTAGCTCTTGCGGTCTCTTGCGAGCCGCCGTGCATCGCTGTGACCGCGTTGCGGTCTGTCGGCGGCTCTGATGCAGCGAGCGAGTGGACCGAGCCCCCCACGCCGCGCTGCCCGGCGCAGGTCCACCGTGCCGGCGGGGGCGGCGGTCCCCAGCAGCCCTCTTTGTTTCGTGCACCGCCGGCGAACCCCTGTGGGATTGCACCCCGTGGGCGGCGGGGCTCGAGGGACGAATGGCCACGGCAGCACCCTCGGGACGCCCCGTCCGGGAGCACCTGCAGCACCGGGGGTGGAAGCCTGCTTGGGGGTGGTGCCGCCAGTTGCCCCGGTAGATGGTGGCCCGGCGACTCCTTGGGGAGAACCTGCAGTGGCCTTGGGAAGGAGAGGCTTGAACCTCAGCCTCGGAGCGGGCAAGTTCGGCAAGGGGGTCTTGAGGTCTCTTCGCCAGTCGCTTTTTCTTCCGGGAAGCTGTAGCCTTTCAGCTCCCCCATTTTCCCTATCTGCCGTGCGCAAGCCAGCCTTGCTGGGTATTTTTAGCCGGCGCCGCTGATTAGCATTCAGGGGAGCAAGCGAGAGAGAAAAAGCAGTTTTCCAAATCGTTTTCTCTTCCAGCAGCGCAAATGCACCTGTTGGTGGCAGGAGGGGCGTGTGTGGCATTAGCTGGTTTTTAGCTTTCTGCAGAGATGCGACCTTGCTCCCTCCGTCCCGTCGGGGTGGGACCTCTTGGCACCTCCCTGAGGAGCAACAGCACCCAGCTGTAATCTCGGGCAGACGGGCACAGTGTCCTTTGCACCAGCTGCTCCTCCCCGAGAGAGGTTTCTGGGCCCTGCATGGGGCAGTGGTTCCTCCCAGGGACGTTTGGTGGGAGGCTGTCCTGCTTGGAGTCCAGCTCTGTAAAGGTTGCAGTATCCAGAAGTATCATTGGCTCAGTATCCAAAAGTATCTAAGGGATGTGCCATCCTGCTCCGTAGGACCACACAGACAAGGGAATTTTGTTTTCTCTGTTCTGTTCACAAAAGGAATGCTTTTGGAGCCATGGGTATGTAAGAAAACACAAAAGTCCTGACCAGCCTTGTGTCCCTTGAGAAGGGAGTGGCTGGGTATGTGAACCCCAGTCATCCTCAACTCTTCCCAGGTTTTCCCTTACCCTGAGGACTGAGTGTGTTGGCCTGCTGATCTGTGGTCATGTGAAGATTCTGCTATAGGATCTGTGACTTTGGCTCTGCTTGTGGTGAGTGCCTGGACTCCTGGGGAAGATCTTCAGGTGTCTGGAAAAGAACTCACCTCACCACTCTTTAAATGTGAATGCATAGAGGACACACAGGATTTTACAAATTATAGTATGCACCTCTTGAGAACTCTATTGAGCATCAAAATAGTGCTTCAGAAAGCATTTGTAAACTCTCAAACCAGAGAAAGCACATGTAGACTGTCAAATCCAGAGAACCCTGATAGACACACTCTGTGTGGAGGATGAGGAGATGTAGTTAGTGGGGAGTAAACACTTAATGAACTAATTATCTGTAGAATGGGCCAAGTACCTTACTCCCTGACACACTACATAAAGTTACACATGGGGGAAATGTGTGATTTGTATAACTTGATTGTTAAGACCTTAAAAAAATGAAAAAAATTATTGTGAATGTTGAGAAGATTAATTTAACACTAAATAAATACAAAACTAAGAAAAGTTCTAAGTCTTTATGCATCAATTTATTAATCAGCCTTTAATTTGCAATGGTTAGAGTAGAAAAAGCAAACTTTGCATAGGCAGCAAATTGTTTCTTTTTTGTACAAAGTGTTTCTTGGTGTTCCTTTCCTTCTTGTTTTGGCAACTGCCAGGAGTAGTCAGCAAGGTTTCTCCAGCATGGTTCTTTAGGTGTTCCTACAGCTGTTTCTGGTGCTTAGTCTTTCTCATCTTGAATGTCATCTAAAGAAAGGACCTTTTCCTCCCTGTGTTTGTGATAGGAAACTGATCTTTGCATCCCACAAAGCTGTGCATTGTGAGAGGCCAGGCTAACACACAAAGTTAATAATGTAATTAATAATTCTGCTGTACCTTTTTATTCCTCCTGTGGAGCAGCTTGCTGCTGTTAACCTTTTCCAGATCTTACCTGCTTCTCCCCAAAATGCCTCTTTGTCTTCCAAGCACCATGTTCAAAATGCAAAGCCAGAAGTTTCACTGCCGATTTGTTTCACCACGTGTTATTTATTCATAAACTTCCTGTGTTTCGCTGCCACTCTGAATTAGCCCAATTTTTCTCCAGGTTATTTACAGCTTTGCACTGTTACACATTTTCAGTAACAGGATACTTTTTAAACACGCGAATACAGATACAGATGCACGCAGAGTATGGTCATTAGCATATCCTGCGCATTGAAGGTCATCTTCTCTGGATAACAGGTCTAAAAACATTGTAATGATGTTGGTACATTAATAACAATAGACATAAGACTCTGTGAAACTGCTATATACCTATACTGAATGATTTTTTGATGACTGAATTGTCATTACTGTAAAAAGAAGGGCTGATCCACCGTTGCAAATAAAAGTCACTGAAGAGTTCTTGGACCACAAAGGATAATGCTGATCACCTCAGTCCTAGCTAGTGGCCCTTTCCAGTACAGTCAGGATGCCCTTTTGCATGTTCATAGCTGATCTGTGTGAGTCTAATTCCTCAATCAGGTCTGCCTGCTGAAAAAATAGAGTATCTGTGTGCAACAAAAATGGGAGATCTGCAAGCCACTTGGCCTTGACAGACATCAGTCACAGACAATTAGTCATTGCAGGTAGTTTTGAGTCCCTGGCAGCTGTTTTATCACTAAACTTCACTAGTCATGTTTTAATTTTCCAAAGTTTGTAAATTGTTTTCAAGCATTATTCTGGTGGGCTTTGGAGCAAGTGTATAAGGTTTTGTAGAATAGCACCAGCCTGGAACATATATTCCCAACAGTCTCTTCACAATCATAGTTTGGGCTTTCTGTGTGTTGCAGTGGTAGTCATTTATGGCCAGTTCCTGTCTCCAAAGAATGGCAGGAGATCTTTGGTTCCAAGTTTAGTTTGGCTCACAGGGGAGCTGAGGGAGCTCTGCTTGTTGGGTTGGGTACCTTGTTGGGAGTGGGCACTGCCATGACCAGCCGGGCAGGCTTGCTTTGCTTACTGTGCACGGAACTGGATGTTTTCAGTACTGTGCAGATCAGCCTCTTAACTTTTTGTGGTGACTCAGTGGCACAAAGGACAACAGAGCTATTAATTAATTGCACTCTAGGCTTGAAGCTAAAATGTGTGCATGTGAAATAGATGGAGATCTTCAGCTTATGCCACCAAAGTGCATTACATTATTTTATTGTCTGCCTCTTCTCCCACACTGTGTTTATGATAAGATATATGTGTTGTTATTTCTGCGCCAGTTTGATAAACGGTTGTCATAGCTTTAACTATTCAGTCATGATGACTGTGTAACCTACCATAACTTATTCTGTTTCCTACTACTTCTTCATTTTATTTTTTTTTCCTGTTTCCATAGGGGACATTATGGACTGTACAATCTCCTTGCAAAAATTGCTGTACACACAGTTACTAAGAATACATTAGGAATTAGAAATTTGGAACTCTGAAGGTGAAACCCATCGTATTTCTTTCTGGTTCTTCTTCTTTCCAGTTCTTCTTCTTTCGCATTTACAATGTCCACAAGCATATTTCTGTGCACTAGAGGCCTGCTGTTCTCTAATTTTCACAGTATTTTATGGGAAAGACTCATCTCTGCAGGGAATTTGTGGAGAACACATGCTAGAAAAGGACCTACATAAGGCTAAAAGTCTGGACCTAAGTGGTCGCTGGGCACTGATGAAAAACCATCTGCAAATGCTGCTTCAATGGGTGACATTTCAGAGAGGCTGGGAAGATAATATAAGGATTTAAAATAGAGAAAGCAAAGTCTTTGCTAGAAGCTGAACATGTAAGCCTTGAAGGAGGGACTAGAAGTCACCTTCTATTGACTGCTTTACTAAACTTTCTTTCCTATTGGGTTGCTTCCTTTTTAGCCTAAATAACCTTGCATTTTCTACAGAAAGAAATGTCAAGGCAGGGGTGGAGGGGGAGACAACTCCAGCAACAGTTGTGATACTGGGAAAGTATACATTAGGATCTTCTTCAATCAGAATGTAGGGAAATAATTCTCCTACCTGGGGCTGCATTGTAAGCAAAAGTCATGCTAGGAAGGTGTGGCTCTCTTGCATTATGATTTCTTCCTTTGGCTGCATGTTGAGACAAGGCTTACACAGAATAATCTGGCTGGTCCTTGAATGCAAAGAGCATGGCAAGTCAGCCTTCATGTAAACCTACACTGATCTGTAGCCTAGGAAGTACCTCCCTGCTGTCTGAGGGCTCAGTGTGGCTGTTGCCTGAATGATGCCTACAGATTTTTGCTTTTGTGGTTGAGCTGTGGTTTCTGCTGTAGCTTGGTAACAAAACTGCTGTCCTAGCTGCCTGTCACA